TTCTTTAGAACTCACAGCTAGTATACCACCTCAGGGAAGAAGACTATTGTCTCAAAAAATTAAATTAACTGTCTGATCTTCACAAAAAACAGCAGAAGCCTCTCCTTGTGTGGAGAGGTTTTATCTACATTGGCAAAATTTAAAGGGAAAGTCTGCTACAAATGTAAATCAACTATGGTAGCAGACGGAGAAGGTTAAAGCAGATAGAAATCAGACAACGTATCCAGTCACACTGGAGATCAACTGCTGGATAAAGTTACAGCATAATAAAAATGTGCATATACTGAAACTTTCTGGAAACATCAGTTACAGCATGCCAATAAAGCAAATCAGGAATAAGGAAGGAATAACAACAAATAACCTGCTAAAACATTTGCTTTTTCAACCCACAAAATGATTAGAAACAATGACATGTCTATTACTTCATTATTTTGATCTATGCAACCTTTCCCCATCAACTATCTTCCATTAAGCTCCCATGCCCATCACGCATACCCTACAATACCTCAATATTTTAATAGGTTCTTGTAACAGGAAAATAAATGTAGAGTATCTCAGCTACACAAAGTATCTTGTTTGCATAGTATACTGGTTTATAGATTATAAATTCAGCAGACATATTTAAATAGACTATTTTTCTTACCTGTAAAAGTATACAATATGCTCTAAGATCATCTTTTGTTCGTGGCCTATGAATGAATGAAATAATAAGCAGAATCATATGTACACAACATATACACACATTAAGAGTCATGAAATCATACACCCTATGATTTAACTTGGCTTTGCCAATCCACGTAGAATACCATATTTAAGGATCTCCACTGCTTTCAGAAACTGAAAAGGACACAAAGATTCTGACTACTCTCTAAGAGCAGTAGGCTATTTTAGCACCTGTCTTTTGTGGCATAACACACAAAAGAAGGCAAAAAAAAAAAAAAAGTCTGAATTGAAGAGTAAGAGGTGTTCCAAAGAGGGAAGTTCCTGCAGTTGTCTATCTTGAGTGATACCACAAAAGAATTTATTTGCACCATCTTTGCCATTTCCTGCCACAATTCTTTATGCACTTCTACCACAGCAGCCTCTGTACTTCTTGCTGTTTATCTGCTTCAAGGCTTTTATGTAACCACAAATACACATGCAGCAACAGCACAGAGCAGGTTGTATAAGGTGGAGAAGCGAAGAGCCGAGGGCTGGCTCACAGGTGAGTTACAACAACGTGCTGTCGCTCCCCATATCCTTCTGTGAATCAAACTGTGCATTCCCACTTCTGCTACTTCCTGCTAAGCTGTCATCGCCAACCCTGCTGCCTTTGGGCTCTCCCCTTCTGCATCCTGCACTGCTCTTTCTGTGCTGCTGCCACACAGCAACGGTGCTGTGAAGCGAACTCTGGACCAAGGAATTATCTGGGTTAAAACCATCTAGTTGCTGTTGTGGGGTGGGTGCAGAGAACGTGTTTTACTCTCAGATAAATTCCTTAATTCATCTCACAGTTTGGATGCCCAGAAGATTGCCCTGGCAACAAGCAGCTGAGAATTTTGTGTGGAAATGTATGGCTGGGTCTGGGTCTGCCTCTCAGAGGTTCAATATATCTTAGCAGGTTTGCCTGCCAAAAGGAGACAAATACTTATGAGTCAAACAAATTGTAGCAGAACATTTTCTTTCTTTGGCTGAAAAGACAAAATGTGTATCAGTTGTAAGCGTTGGCACAGCGCTAATGCAAACATTTGTTATAATTACCCTTTCCATTCTTGTAGGAGACCATTAATTATTCCTTTTAGGACTGATTTCTGAACATCTTGAGGCTGTGGAAAAAAAGAGAGAAAAAATTATATCTGATGTAATTATACATACACATATGCAAGATCCTGTAGGAACAAGCAAGTTTGTTTGCTTGTGATTCAAGCCAGCTAAGAAATCTATGTTCTGATGCTAAGCTCCTAAGTATCTTTCCTCACAGACTGTTAGCTGAGGCCTGGAGTTATGACAATGGTGCCTTTTCATGCTTTAAACAATTTAAAACCTGTAAATATATTTTTCTATGTTACTCCTGTCCTTTGTTTACTAGGCACAGTACATGCTTTTTCTACCCCCACCCTTACATTTTCTGTATTTCCCACCATGCGCTGTCCCATCATATAACACAAGCAGTCTTTGAGATCTACCACAGTATTAAGTAAGCACTACCAGGAGAAAAAATTTCCTCCTCTTACTAAAGCAGTTTTCATGATTCTATGGCAATCCTCCTGGGGTCATTTGAAGTATGTTTTGAGAGATTCTTCAGAAATTGTGCCTATCTGAGAAAACTTTTAGGTATAAATTACTTCTTAGCCTATTTCTTTGATGAAATAATTGTTACAATGTTTTAAGACATGAAGTCCTTTCCTTCTACTTACAGTATTTAGTAAGGCATCATAGACAACATTCACAAATTTTGCATTGATTCCAGAGTCCTCTGTGGTATTAAATGAAGAACTGGTATCTTTCTGTAAGTTAGATAATACACGAATCATTTTGGTTTTGAAATGTTTTAAATATTTTAGTTATATTTGTAAAATAAAAGTTTAACAGCAAGTTTAAATAAAACACACAGATATAACTATTTATTCTCCTTATTAAAACATAAGAATCTAAGTTGCTTTTATTAATATGTGAAAGATGAAGCTAAACAATAGTGATCTTACACACTGGCAATATTCGTGTAACTCTGTTACTTTGCCATTCTATTTGAAAAATGTAAGAGGGTTTCAAATTAGGAATTGCATCAGATTTTCATCCTTCATCTTAGCTGTTGATCCATCATCATATACAAGCAACAAAATCATAAAGTACTCAATATTTGTTGAGTTAAAGTCACAAGATATTTTGTCTAGGTTCAGGCCCTACTGTCCATAGTAAATATCAGCACATTTTACTCTGTTAGAGTCAGGAAGTACAAATTTAGCATGAATCCAAGAAATTTTCACACTTGAATATGATTTTTCCCAAGGAAAGATGAGTATACCACCATGGCACAAGAACAGCTCTACTACTTCAGCCCATATCACACGTGGGGTTTCTTAAGGGCCATGGAATTTCTGCTTCCGTATTTCCCTGAGGCTCTGTATTAGCTGCATTAGTTTGCATGTTTTTAAACTGTAGTTGGTGTACAAAGCATCTAACACAGTCATAGCCATGAGGGTAGCAAGACTCTGGAATAGATTGCCCAGAGAGGTTGATGCCACCTCCCTGAAGGTGTTCAAGCCGAGGCTGGATGAGGCCTTGAGCAACCTAGTCTAGCTGAGAGGCGTCCCTGCCCATGGCAGGGAGGTTGGGTCCCTTCCAACCTAAACCATTCTATGATTCTATGATAGTGCCACAAAACAAACTACATACTGGAATTTTAAAGCTCCACATACACATGAAATACAGTTGCTTAAACTGGAACCAAAAAATCAATGCAATAACAGGTTGTCTACCAAAGGCAGACAAGATCATGACAAAATTATCTTAGAGGCCTTGAGTAATTAGCTGAAAGCCTTTAACAGATGTTTTTGTTGAACACTTTGAAGATAAAAAGTGTTATAAGTACTAAATAGTATCACAAACTATTTTCTACCTTAAATGCAGCATTTATCTCCAGGAAAGAATCAAATGTCGTAGAATAAAAGTCATGTACAGCTTTCCAATCTCCTGATGACTTAGCCTTTTCTACATCATCCCTAGAAAGAATATATTAAAAAAATGGTAATATAAGGGTTCAGTCTTCCCATTCACTTAGACTTTAGGCTGCACTGTAACTCTAAGCTTTCTTCACTGAACACACTTAGAAGACAGACAAGTATAATATCAGTGTCTTTCTAAGATCTTCCTTTTCATTTTAAGATCATGGCATTACAAGAGAACAAAAGCATAGTTTGTGTTTGATACACCTGAGCAATGTCTCTTATTCAAAATGTTAATTCATGGTGTCACAGTTCAGAATGTTAAGACAAATAATTACCAGAATAGAATTATACTGAAGATACACCAGCATGATAAAATTCTGAGACTAATTTATTTAGGTACACAGGCTCCTAAACGATTCAAATTCATTATAATTTGTACAAAATTTTACTTCTCTTCAAATTTTCCAACTAAAACTTCATCTTTGTATGTGACTGTACACCTTCCTTAAGGGGACAACAAAATCTATGGATTTACTCTTAAAGTCCTTTTAAATGTCGGACCTTAAATTAAGTATCTGTACATGAAAAGTTGCATAATATCATACCTTTAAAAAAACAACCAGCCAACAAAGCTTAACCAACCTTTGAAACAGAATTTTAGCTATCTACAATGCTGGTGATACAAATCCCAGTTTGCTCCCTTCCAGATAATTTCTTTATACTAGGTATTTAAATCATAAGGGGGACATACCAAAAATGCTAATGGCTTCATAACACTTTACTTGAAAGAATAACATTTTTGATAATTACATAATTAGGCAGCAGTCAATAGATACAAAAATCTGAATATGCCAAAAATTTCTGCTATTCAGATCACCTGAATACCCAAACAACGGATCACCTCTTGTCAAACTCTCTTTTATAGCCATTTCTTTTTCCACCAAATACACACACTGACTAATCAAAAAGCATTCCTTTTCCTCACTGAATGCAGAAAACTTCAAGCATGGAAAAGAGCAATGTAGAGTGTATGCTCATAAGCCTCTTGCAGCAACTGTATTTTTTTTTCCATCTTTTGAAAAACAGAAGAATCAGGCTTCTTCCTAGGAATACATCTCCCCATTTCCTAGGAACATATCTACACTAAAGAAACAACCTGCCAATATATTCCTGTATTGCAGGCAGAATCCCCACCTGTAGACACACCTTATGCCATTAGCTTGTCAACAAAGTTATGCCACTTCCTCAAATGACAATGTCAACACCACCGTTTTGGGAGCGTAGCTATCTATGTTAAGTAGATAAAAAATGTTCTCTATTGACTTGTGACTTCAGTGAACCAACTAAATCTAGCAACGCTTTTTGGTGTAGACCTAACATGTGGGAAACAGGCTATACTAGATAAAACCAGATCAGGTGGTTTCCCTGAGGACTTCTGCTAGTCTAGCGAAGCCAATCAAGCATTGTGTGCCAAGTATTATAACACTGCTGGAAAAAATCTAATGCAGATACAGTTTGCATTAAGGATCTGTACTGATCTGGAAAATCAAAAGTGGAACACAAGACACTATTTCACATCAGTTCTACTTCTAGCTAAATCTGTGTTACAGGTTAGCAGCATAAATACTCTCTGCACAGACTCTTTAAATCACAAAACTGTTTTTACTTAGGCAAACTTAAAGCATTGTGCCTCTCAGAGGAACAAAAGAACAGCTTAACACTGCTTAAAATTGCAGTCACATAAGCAGCAAGGATACATGAAAAAAGAAACAAGTTTAGTCATAAAACTAATATTGAAAGCAAACTCTCTTCAACATAATGCATGAAGAAGGGCCATCTGCACTTTTAGCCAGTTAGAAATTAAGCAGCCTACACGTCCACTACACGTCCTCAAATATGATGTTATTCAATTAAGCGTCTCACGAGCAGTGTTTCACATGACACTGAGAATGCCCACTATCTCAATGGACAGGACACATCATAATTGGCAGTACAAATTAAGACTGAAAGAGATTTTCCAGCCTACAATAAGCCACACACAGTGTTTTGCAAAATTAAACCTTCACTAAATGTCAGAAAGTGAATTTCTAACTATAAAGTACAAGCTCTGCCGTTTCTTGAACGGAACAACACTTCAAGCTAGAGAAAGAGTTTTGCTAATTTTTCACAGTAATAGAGTTATCAATCCCAGATTAACTACTTGTCAAACCAGACTAACTACCTGTCAGTCTTACTGAACTGTTTCCTCATTTGTGATTAAAAAAACTCAATATGAATTAGGACAAAACTAAGAAAGTCCAAAAGAAAGTACACTTTTAGAGAGACCAGTGTAACTTACTGAAAATCTTCCACAGTTTTGGTTCGGATGGGAAGGGAAGGTTCAGGAGGCATTGGTGTTTTCAGTTCTTGGGGTAGGGTATCTACAGAGATACGCTGCTTTTGTCGTACATCGAGGCAAATAGGTGGCAGATCTCTCACTTATTAAAAAAAAGAACAATAAATACAATGCAATCACACACATAAACATTTAACTAGTAAAATACACATATATAGAAACTAGGAAAAAAAAGAAAAACTCACACTGGTTGATTCTGTATCTTTAAACCCCTACTCTTCCAAGTACTTTTCTTACCATGAGCTCATCTTAGACATGATGGAAACTTTGACTAATTGAAGGGAAATAAAACCCTAGAAAAAAAACTGCGTCCTGCCTTTGTAACTACATCTTTGTGAACAAAGTGCTCCCTCCTGGCAATGGAGTGAGGAAATTGGCCAGTCTGTCTCCTATCTAAGGCCTTCTGAAAGAATGGAGTCTCTATGATTTTATAAACAAGCTCCTGGACTAAGTTGCAACGCCTATTACAATAATAAAAACAGAAAACCAAGCTAGATTTTCGCAACTGAATTGCTGACAAGCTGCTGGAAAAGAAAAAAAACCACCAACCACAACCTGGTAACCTGTGTTCCAATTCATTATTAGGGAAAATACCAACATTTTGTATTTACATAAGACATGCTGGCATTACATCGGTAACACACACTAGTATACATACAGCAGCATTCACATCACACAAGAAAATCCCAAGTTCATATAGTTTCATTTTTAGAAAAGCGTGCTACAGAATTTTCATTAGACCTATTTGCAGCTGCAAATGCTCAACCTTCTGGCCATTAAGCCATGTGCCTTCTAAAGTCATATGTCTAAAAAAGTGCCTGTTCTGAACATCACATCCACCTGAACCTATGAGGAACTCATGCTTAGCAAGTTAGAACACAATTAAAAACAAAAACCAAAACCAAGCCAAAGGATGTCACATCATTACAGAGTTACCCGGAATGATCCTGTTACATCAGCTGTTTGAAAGCCATGTCAAGCAGTCCGTGACTGGTAACTATTAGACATGAAGAGTAGTGTTGTCCATTACTGTATTTACAATAGATATTGTAAATATTCTAATACACACAAACTGTATCACTGCTGTTCCCCACACCAAAGAAAAACCTCAGGCAAACCTATTTTGAAGTCAAACTATTTACTGACAAGTAAATAAAAGGACAAGTCTTCAGTCTTTTTTTCTAGATAGATGGATAATTTCAGCTAGATCAATGATCATCTATAGCCTCTTAAAAGAATCTCTGACAAATTAAAAGGCAAATGCAAATTTTCTGTCTTGCAGAGAATTACTGGTGAAACAGCAGCATCTTTAAACATTTCTTCTCAGTTTGGCTCCCTATTCTAAGTGCAAATAGAAGTGATTGAACAAGATCTCTCTATTCTACTTCTTACTTCCTATTTGGTGTGAGAACATTGTATTGGGTTCATGTGGCAAGGTTTTGGCAGCAGGGTGGCTGCAGGGGTGGCCTCCATGACAAGAGAGATGAGACTACTTCTATATCAGACACAGCCAGCTCCAGAACAGGCCCACCACTGGCGGCGCTGGTAGTGCCTCTGTGGTCGTTTGTCAAAGAAAGGGTAAAAAACACCACACAGCAGGTGGGAGGAGGGGGAAGAGAACGGGAGAGGGGCCCAGGCACTGGAGTAGAGATTCCCCTACAGCCCACGGAGAAAATCATGGTGAAGAAGGCCGTACCCCTGCAGCTCATGGAGGACCACAGTAGAGCAGGGGTCCATCCTGCTGCCCATAGAGAGCCCGTATCCAAAGGGGCTGCTGGCAGAAGCTGTGGCCCATGGGGGACTCACACTGGAGCAGTCTGACCCTAAAGGACTGTACCCTGTGGAAAGGACCCACACTAGAGCAGTTCTTGAGCTTCAACTCATGAGAATGACCCATAATAGAGAAGCTTGTGAAAGACTGTATCCTGTGGGATAGACAACATGCTGGAGCAGGGGAACAGTGTGAAGAGGGAGGAGCAGCAGAGATGAAGCTTTATGAGCTGAATGCAATCCCCAGTCCTCACGCCCTTGCACCACTTTGGGGAAAGGAGGACGAAAAGTGGGGAATAAAGGAGTAAAGTTGAGCCTAGGGAGAAGGGGGTGCAGGGGGAAGGTGTTTTGAATTTTGTTTCTGGTTTAACTGACAATAAATTAATATCCTCAAGTTAGGTCTGTTCTGCTTGCAATGATAAATGGAAAATGAACTCTGTCCTTACCTCAAACCATGAGCTATTTCATCTTATTTTCTCCCTGTGTCCTGCTGAGGAGGGAGAGTGATAGAGCAGCTTGGTGGGCATCTGGCAGCCAGCCAAGGCAAACACACCAAAACCATGAAAAAAACTGTTCCAATGCATTATACACAAGCATCCATTTTACTGACAGTGTCTTCTCAAGTGTCCTTAAAATGCTTTTTTAGGCTGATTTATGCTGCACATTTTTCAAAGCAATTATGTGAATTATGATGTATGTTTGGGGTAGGGGTAAAATACATCACATAAGAGTATCCTCGAAAATCAAATGTATTAGACAATTCATAGAGGATTTGGGTTTAAGAACCCTCAAAGCCTTTTCTAAAAGTAGTTGTTTTTTAAAAATTAATTGAAGATCAAAGTAATATTACTACTCTGCTGACTACTCCATTTACCATGGCAGGGTAACAGATGCTACCAAAATCCCCAAAACCCAAGGGCAGATTTTTTTCACTGGTGCTAATGACAGAGACACTGTCATTGTGACTTAACTCAGCCACCATTCATCAGATGATAACAGATCAGAGCTGCCCTTGATCCTCCAAATATGTCATCGATTCTAGGTATGGAGTCTCACCCACTCTCACAGCCAGAATTTAAGGCTATTTAAAGATAGGAGTAATCATTTAAAAAACAAAGTGGACACACAGCTATTGAATTACTTCAAGACAAGGATGCCAAACAATCTTGCCATGCAAGTGCTCTACTATTGCACATCATTCTCTGAAAGCAGGATGGACTGACTTAAAAGGAACTAAGACTGTCTTATTTTTGTACTCTGAGAAAGACAAATAGTTTTCATTTAGCTCTCATTCTGTCTTCTCCATTTTAAACGGATTAAACATTGAATTATAACTAGTTGAATACATTGCAACGAGGAAAATATTCTCTCCACATCTGTAGAAAAGGCAGCTGCTGACAGAAGCTGTTTCTCATTTCAGTAAATTGAGGCTGCAGGTGCTAAGCTGGTAACTTGCACCCTGTCAGTGATGCAATTTTCTCTGAAATATACACATCTTAAATTAGATACACTAAAACTGAGTTTTAATAGTACGTTAAATAAATTCTGTCAACTTCAGTATGTTTTGCTGTAATTCAAGTTTATTTGTAAATAGATTTATTTGCTTGTCTGACATTCAAAGGTATTAATTAACGTCTGTCACTTGAGTTCCATTGAGAAAAAACTTGAAACTTGACGTATTGAGTTGATAAGCAGCAATAACACAACATTACAAGACAAGAAAAAACAATCATTTCTGGCTGTTTGCCTGGCTACATCAAGTAAAAAGACTGAGCAACACATGACTGCCTAGGGAATTATAAAAAAATTGAGGAAGAAAATCTCATTGATACAAAGCAGAATTGACTAGTACAAGGAAATTTAGGGTGAATGAATCTAGAACAGTAGTTATTTTCATGGTGAGGTACTGGCAGATTGAAATTTTCAAAGTAAAGCAAACAATGCTTGTATTTGTACTATTGCAAAAGAACAAGAACAATCCAGATAATATATAGATTTCATACCAGATCATTGTTGCGTTAGAAGACTTGTTACATAAATTCAATGTATATACACACTCAAATGTGCTATCTCTGTGGCAGCTACACAGCAAACAAACATCCCCCTAGCCTTCATGCTGTATTTACCAGGATTACCTTTGCCACCCTTTTGTTTTCCAATGAAATGACCATTCTTTGAACTCAACCCTAAAGTCTTGTCAGTATATCCACACATATTCACAGAGATAGCACATGTATAGATAAACTTTTTAAAAAAATCCACCAACGAAGCAGCATTTCTGAATTCCAGAATTGCAAAAAAAGCATTTTTAACCGAGAATTTTGTTTCTGTTATTTTTTTCCATAGAATACACACACCTCCCAGAAATACTCTGAGTGCACCTTGGACTACTACTAAAAATAATCTGGTTTTATATCAGCAAGTTACCCTGATCCTGAAACTACCAGAATATCTGCTCAATTTTACACACTGATCTCCATTTCAAGAATATATCTTCGACTCTAATAAATATTGCCACGCATTAGTATGGTGAAAATTAACAACTCGGTACTTATGAAGCAGTAATTACCACCAGGATAGTATCATGTGCAGCAAGAATTGAGGGCATTTCAAAAGAGAGAGGTGTTTAGAGGTCACCATTCTTATCAGGTACAAAAAAAAAAAAAGAGGGTGGGGGCAGATTTCTTCTGTTCAGTAAAATGAATTCTGGATAAGGGTACTGTATTTTTCACATTGCTTGGCCCAATGCTAGATTTAATTTTACTTTGTCCTAAATTCCATTAGGTTGCAGGCTTTCATATCATAAGATTGCATTAGGCAACTATTCAGACACAAGCTGGACAGGAAGTAATTAAGGCTTAAATATTGAAAGACAGTAGCTTGGAGTCTGTGAGTTAATTGCACCCATGTTTCTGTTAAAAAGGCTAGCAGCTGAGTAGTTAATACTGACAAGAGGTCACTGTTAGCTTCTGAGGAAAATAACCTTATCTGAGAAAGGCAAAACATGGGCCTTTCTCTGAGGACTTTCAGACTGTAACAATATTGCAATTATTCACATGCAATTCACAAATTCTTTTCCTTAAAAATACATTGGTGAGAGCAATGGCCTCCTGAAGGTTGTTCTTCCAGCTTTGTTAGCTCAACCTTACAGCACTTTGTAAGAATCAGCAGAGCTCTGACCTGTTTTGCAACATCTTTTTGCTCTACCCCAAGTCCTCAAGAACACCATTTCTACCTTAACTCTGGTGAGCTATGTAGCAGTAGAAGTATTGACTGGCCATCTCAGCCACCTTGGTTTCCACTGTGGAGTGCAAAGTGATTTAAGCAAAGTACAAAATCCTGTTCAGATGTCATTTACACAACTGTCCTTTGTGTTTCTGTGATTGCCCCACCTCCTTTTTTAAGTAGAAAGCACCTCCTTACCCCATAACAAAAATTGCCTTTAAAGAAAAACCAAACAAACAAAGGGGGTGGGGGGAAGTCTTGCTTTGACTTCTACTTTTGCAGTATAGCCAGCAAGGATAAAAAGATTATTTTAGTAACTATCCAATCCTGTGAGGTATAAGCCACCTTTTTCTAGACACCTTTGAAACTGACAATATCTGACCACAGTTTTCTTTCAAACTCACACTACTGATATCTCTCAATGCAGTCTCTTTCTTCCTAGCCTCATATTCATTGAGTGCTACAAAAACTTAGAGAACCACAGAATAGTAAGGCTCAGGGGACCTGTTCAGAGGCAAGATCAGTACAAACCTGACAAATGCTTGCAGAACCTTCTATCAAAAGTCCCAAATTACTGAAATCCCATATCCTAGCCCAATTTTCTAATAAAAATCTCACATCTAACAACAATGTAACCTCATCAGGCTTCAAGATTCTAGCTTACCACACTGAAGACACAGCTCCACTTCCTATCTTTTCATCTATTATTACCTCATAGCACAACAATACCCCTTCTCACCTTTAAAGCTGTTTAGTGCTTACCAATCTTTGCCTGTGAATTTTATTTTGTGTCATCACTGGCCTTCATCTTCACTGCAAAAGAGCAACTCCCAGCAACTGTTTCCCTTAAAAGCCCTATGCTTGTCTCATCCCTGTGATCCTTCAGATGCCCATAGAAAAATCTCCAAAGTTCTTACAAACTTTCAAGAGAAACTGCCATCTGACTGCAGTTAGATAAACAATATCTGCAGGCAGATTACCCAATCTGTAACTTTCTTTAAAACTTATTTCACACTCCAGTTCTATTTTTTTTAACTCATCCAACTTGTCTCTATGACATAACCTCTACAGAGGATGGACTATCATATATATTACTGCCTGTACCATGTGCAGCACAGCACAATTTAATGAAATCCAGATTTCTAGGTTTTTCTGGCACTACCACAATACAAATACGGGCAGAACACTGAGCACCTTCTTAAATTGGTAACCAAGTAACACAGGGCTTTTATTCTCTTACCATTTTTGATGTTGGGTATAACAAGTTGTGTAGGCGAATTTCTGTTTCCGATGCCTTCCTTCTTTTGGTTGATAGTTGTGATGAAATTGCTGAAAGTGGAAAACTGATTTTTGGCTCCTCTCTCCAACCCCTGTAATTAAGATGACAGCATGCTAGAAAGGGCTAATACATTACTGCAAGAGTAATCTTACTCATGAGGTATTACAGAATACCTGAATACCTTTTATCTTGAAATCGAGTGGTAATACCTAAATAAGACATAAACAATTATTCTGCAAGCTTGTTTCTAATTGAATCGGGAGAGATACCATAAAATTCCTTCCCATTACATTAACAACCTAAAGGATGTATTTGCAGGATATGAAAATATTCTTGGGTTACTGTGAGGAAAACACAATACGATTAAAGTGCTTACGACAATATACTAACTTTCTGTATCCTAATTTGTAACTACTTTTATATTCCACACTACATCCAGATCAGTTCAAACATATAAAAATGTCACACATTCCCTTTTCCAAAAAACCCTAATATACTTGAGTAGTTTAGACAAATTTCCCATGATTTGAAATGTAGGG